TTTATAAAATTATAAATCTTTTACAATACAAATTCATTCACACCCACACACACACACACACACAAACATACACATATACACACTCTCTTATTGCATATGATTTAAGTCAGAAATATTATGATAAAAAAAAATTAAGTGTCACGCGTGAAATATTGCAATAAAAATTAAAAATTATACAGAAAAAACAAACAAAAAACAAAAATGGCTGAACCTAGTCTATTTTCTAATAGTAATTTACAACGAAAGAACAGTTTTATAATTAACTAGAAAAAATGCGTGTGTGTTCATATATAGGTTTCATTTATATAAATGAGTTACTTCTATGGTATTTAAAAACAACAAAGAATTACATAATATATACTTTTATACATTGAAAAACAGTGATGCTAAACATTCCAGATATAACGTCGATTTTATGGTTCAAATGCTACCTCTTCTGCCTGCTAGATAAATGGCCCATTTGTAGATGATCGTAGGATGAACTTTCGTAGGGATGCGGTCTTTTCGAAGAAGGAGGTAACCAACGATTATTTTCTATAAATTCTAATAACTTGGCCTTTGTTACTGGATGTCGAATGCTGTTACACACGGCTGAAACGTTTAAAAAATATTTCCATTATCATCTTTAATCATCGTCATTAACAAAAATCAATACATTTTATTGTATTTATATGGAAATAAATTAATTTTAATTACAAAAACATTAAAGTGCTTCTTGTCTCATGATTTTGTAAAGTTTAATTTAAAAGTTTTGGCATTATAAATGTAATTATAGAAGCTTTAACTTTATAGCTACATTAGTAATAATATACGAATACATGATTATTCAAATCAAGAAGTGAGCCTGGTATCTATTAGCTGAAGAATCTTTGTTAGGACCTATGGATTTAGACAGTGCTACACCTAGACTTGTTGTGGTCAGTTATAACATATAACAGACCCTTTCCCTATACCAATTAATGATATATGTAAAAACACGAAGCCCTGGGCTATAGACCCAAAGCATGCGGCCCTAAGCTGTGGCTTATTTAGCTTATGTGCAGCTCTGGGTTTAGACATGTATAAATGTTTTCATTTTGTAAGATTCTCAATTTTTCATTATAAAGAACTTTGCTTACAAAACATTAAATTTGACATTTAATTAAAAAGTCTCACAGAGTGAAACTATGAGTTTTTTTTATCCTACAGAATATACATTTTTCTTAAGTTTATATTTTTTGTCTTTTAAGTATGTAACAATTCTAGAACAGATATGTTTTATTATTCCAATTAGGAAATGTAAGCTTAAAAAAATGAGTTAGGAATGAGTAATGAAAAGTAAAATAATTTGAATTTTTGGTGGCAAATATTTATCAGACCATTGCAATGGTCAGATAAATACCATTAAATACCAAGAATTTAATGGTATTTATCAAAATAAGAATAATTTGTTTGAAAATCATCCACTTTAATCATGTTAATTTTATTTTTATTGTATGAAACAGATCTTAATATTGCATATAAAGAAAAGTAATATAGCAAATTTATTTTATAGTATGATATTAGCTCCATTGATAATATCAAAAATAGAGCCATAGAAATAAAAAAATATAAATGATATATTTATTAGGATTTCAAGACTACATATGTAAAATATACTAATTTTCTGAAAAAAATTAATAATTAATTATCTTAATTATTTAATAATTAAATTTTAAAATAATTCAATAAAACTTATTAGTCTATTATTAAAATTCTACATTTACAAGTAAAACATTTCAAAATTCAATTCATGTATTTATATTAATTTATCACTTTAAAATTCATGCTTTAGATATGTTATTTTCTGTTTGGAATAATTCTTAGTGCTTACTGAAATACTTCCATAATGATATAAAATAAACATTGGACGTATGCCAATGTTCTCAAACAGGATATCCATGCTATAAATCTTGAAAGCATAGATATATTGGCAAGATCATGCTTTTTAAACACTTTTACAGACTAAAAAGTCATTTCATTCTACTTAAGTATGTCACACCTATGTAACTGTTGTACAGTTGGTAGTTCCACAAATAACAATTACCTTAAGTTTTACAATAAAATCAGTTGCCAAATAAATTATTTTCTGTTAGCATATTTCTCATCCCAATATAATTCTGTCATCTGAAAAAATCCTAATTTGCATGATTTCAATAAGTCTAAACTGAAAGAGAAAAATCTTTACGATATTATTAATTTTGATTAAAAATTAAAATCAACATTACATAAGTGTTTATTTCACAATCCACATACTTCAGACAATTTTTTTGGGCAAATTTAACATTGAATCTTTGAACGTTTTCACAATTACAACTTATAATTTCATTATAATGTACTAACATTTGTAACTAAAAATTCAGTAAATTGTTATCAAGTGTATCCAAAGAAAGACAGCTTAAAATAAATTTAAATACATTTCTGTAAAGTTATCTTTTATTTTTAATTCAAAAAACTATTCAGTAAATAACTAAGTTTAAAAATACACGGTGTTCCAAAAAAATGTATTCACTATTTATCGGTCCAGTACTTGTGTTTTTAGTGCCACAAAACTAGCAACAATCAATCATTTTAAAGAAGAAATTGGGAGGCAATGTCTTGCAATTCCAAATGAAATTTCTCAATCTTGTCGAATCCATTGATCTGCATTATCAGCTGTGTTTGGAAAATGGTGGAAAACAGTTTGAATATTTCTGAACATGCAGGAATGAGTAAACTAGGCTAGGAGGAAGGCTAATGTTTTTCTACCATTAAATTTTCTTTAATTTAACTTATTAAACTTGTATCTATGTCAATAAACACCTAAATCAAAATTTAATATATTAGTAATGGTCAGTCAAAGAGCAAGTACATTTTTTTGGGACACCCTGTATTTACTCAATTTATATTCAATTTCTAATTGGAGTTTAGTTCAAGCTTATACTGCATTTGGCAGTACAATGCTGCAATAGTAAATCCAGAAGTACTCAAAGAGGGGCTTAACTAAAAAATGAAAAATATTTGAATAAGTGCCTTTTATTAACTCAATCACATCAGTTGTATTGCAATGGTTTGATAAATATTTGTCACCATAAATGTTTTTCAAAAAAATGTGTTTAAGTTCAAACAAAATAAATTATTTTAAAAGATTAAAAGCTATTGGGTTTTTTTCAGTAACATATCATACAAGGAACAGTTGTTGATATAGGCTTTATTGATGAAGGAAATGCATTTTGTGTCTTTAAAATCCACAATAAAACCAGTAAAAAATAAATTATTATTATTTTCATCATTGGGGCAGGATTAAGCCCCATAACCCTCTCCTTGAATCTGCCATTGCAATAATGCTTTTTAAGATTGCTCTATAAGAAAATTATGTAGTGCAATATATTGATTTTTCATTACGAAGTATTTTTAAAAAATCTTATTTTATTTAACATAAATAATTGACAATAAAATAGATGTCATTTTATGACCAAAACTAATTTCATTTTGCTTTCTAATTTAATTCTATTACTTTCACAGGAAAATTGTGATTTAAATATTTAAATTGTTGTTTAGCTGCATTCAGTCTCTATGTCACATTCATCAGAGGAATTTTCTGATCCATATAACATCAGAGACTTATCTGGATCTGAACAAACCCTACAAGTTTAAACTTAGTAAATTATGATTAAATCCAGGTTTGCAATGAAATATGATAATTTTGTCTCTACAATGCATAGAGAATTTTCTAATGTAATAGCCACTTCACATGTGTATCTAATTAGCTAATTTTTAAAATTGAAGACAGATCAATATACAAGCTGATATATTTCAAAACAAATTATCTGGTGTAAATTAGATATATATACTCAACTATCAGTAAATATATGATTTACTAAATATACAAAATATAAACAATTCTGTTTTTATACAATATAAAAGTTATTTTCTATTTTATAAATCTAATGAAAATTTTATAACTAATTTTTGATCATCATCATCAAATGTAATTTGTTTTGTAAAAGACAGTAAATTTTATATTTTTGCAAGAAAGGCAAAAATAATTAATTAAATGCTCATTTATACAGTATTACACAGAGGTGGATCAATAAATAATTAGCCAATAAGCATATTCCATGCTGCTGCTTTTGTCTGGTTATTTATGGATCCATCCTTATAATATTTATAAACATTCATATCATTTAAGATTAATTTCCATTTTTTTCAAACTTCACTATATTCTGCTTTATTGGATTACTCAATACCATAAAAAAATGTCCTTAGTTCAAGAATCCCCTGCTAATCAGTAACTCATTATTGCAAACTGAATCTTTGTCGTCCGACTGACCTTATGCGACTTTCTTAAAGTACTCCTACCCCCTTAATGTGAAATCCCAAGTAACTTGTATGCAAAATGAAAATTGGGACCTCAGCGTTCTATTGTGACCCCGATAATGCAAAGAAGAAAAATGAAAAAAATCATCTGAAACTTTTTCAACTCCTTAACCCACCATAATGTTGTTTCATTGCCAAACCTCTTAACACCTGATTTTCCAGTAAGATTGACCCAATATTAGACATGAAGGGGACAGGAAAAGTGTGTTGAGAGCTGAATCTATAGGTATATGAAATTGCTCTCACACATGCCAACTATTTGCCTTTTTGACAAGCAATTCATATTTCCTTCCTCTGTTCACCCTGTTACCCATTCTCTGGAAATATTTGCTGTTATCACTTTTGAGTGTTTTTAATAATTTCCAAGACTGTTCTTTCTTTTAATGTTTCTTGATTTTAAACAAGAACTATAATTTCCATCATAGTTAAAAACTACATTATTGTCTGGTCAGTGCTATCTGTGTTGTTCCATCTATGTGGATTTATGTGAACTAGTTATTAGACAATTGGAAAACAGGACATTGCCTAAATTCCTCCACGACATTATACTATACAAAAGATATGTTGACGACATCATCATCCTATGGAGGACAACTCCCAACATAGCCTGTTTTTTAGACGAAATGAATGACAACCCATACGGACTGACGTTAGAGATGGAACAACACAGTAACACCAGAGTACATTTCCTGGATTTGGACATAAGATTTGATGATTCCATCATCCGCACATCGGTTTTTCGCAAACCTACTAATGTACCGGCATACATACCAGTAAGCTCATGTGATCCCTTCCAGTACAAAATGGCGGCTTTTAGGGCATTGGTTAAACGAGCTTACACACACTCTTCCACACAACAAGCACTAACGGAGGAGTTAAATTACTTGGAAAGTATCGCCAGATCACACGGGTACCGTAATATTATACAAAAGATCACAGAGCGCCACAAACAAACACAGGCTTCTTCCAACATTGTAATCAACACGCAAAACACAAGCAATAATATAGAAAATCGGAGGATACCCATTAAGTTCAACCCTCTATTGAAGTCCCTGTACAACACCATTGCTAAACAAAGAAATGTTAACATAGCATACAGAAGATGCAGCACCTTGTTTGACATCCTACGTAATGAAAAAGACGGATCCAGGATGGAGAAGATATCAGGAGTATATAAAATTCCTATAAGGGATAACAGGTTCAACAGAGATCTGGTATATGTGGGATCAACTAAACGCTCGTTAGAGGTTAGATTAAAAGAACATATTTCGGATATACAGCACAACAGGCACACAACCTCACTCTCCACATATGCCACTGATCCCGAAATAGTGGCGGACTTCAATGCAGCACGGATAATTGCCTCCACACCACATATTCACCAACTAAAATGGCTAGAAGAGATGGAAATTTTTAGGGCGTATGACAAATCCGAGTGTATTAATTCAAGAGAAGAGATCAGCCTTTCCAGGGCGTGGCAAAAACTACTCCATAAAGAGTGATAACGAAATTATATTAAGCCTTAAAAATAAATGATATTAGGGAACACGAGAATATTAAATAATCTTTATATATCAATAACATGTTTTGGATCGTTCTCTTAAATTTGAACATCGACTGTCAAAATAGAACAATTTCAATTACATCACGTGACGGATTAAGTGAATGGAACGATTCAAGTTCAGAATCATTAAAACTTTTTGAAATCGCTATTCGATCCAGCTGTTATCCTGATGAAGAACCCAGAAGGGGTTATGAAAACGTTTTATTTTTCAAAGAAAAAGTGATACACATCGGTTAAAGGTTCCGTAAGTCAGATTTATTGTAAGTTGCAGATATATTAACCTCAATAAGAGTCACAAGTTGTCATAGACATGTGTAAGGATGTCTATTTATGCCTGTTAATTTTGTTATTTACCTAATTCTTCATTTAAGACAAGAATAAGATGGCACCAAAGGACATTTGGGGAGACTTTTTTGCCAAGCTCCTTCTAATCAGTTTTCTCCAGTACAGGAAACCAAAGTATAGGAAAAAAAGGATTCAAAGGAATGAATTAAATTGATGAATTTAAAACTCTACTTCTTTATTTCCACAAAATAAGTAAAATAAATAAATAAATACATAAATATATATATACAGGAATATTCATATATATGAAGTCCACCTATGAAACAAAGATTTTATATGCATTACTTTATATATATAATATCATAAATCCAAAGTTGGAAGCCTCAGTCTATAGTATGACTAGTAGAGTTATCACTTGCCACAGACTGGTACTGACTAAAATAACATAATCACCATCCACCAATATATATATTTCAAAAGTAATGAATATAAAATCTTTGTTTCATAAGTGGACTTCATATTTAATAAATAGCTAAATGCAGATAAATGAAAAATGTATATAACTTATCAAGCAAGTCAAGATTTTTGGAGGTCACCTCAAGTTCATTATAATGAGACTCCACTATATAAAAATTTCCATAATGCATTTGATACTAATTTTTTAATGCAAAAAATTAATGAAATGAGCATTAAATATAAGTACGATATAATGATTCTTTTGACTACTTTGTAAGTTATTTGTCATAGGATTTCTCAATAACTATATTATAAAATACATGGTCTTCCAAAATGAATGCCATCATTTTAAATCACTGTAATTATGTTGATTATTATCTGGGAAGAATGTACACTAATTGATAGACTAATAGACTAACTGTCTGAGTTTCGTGATGATCCTAGAAAGTGTAGAACAGAACAAAAAAATATAAGATTGATTTTCTTCAGATTTTCAATGTCCTTTTCAAGATGTTGAAAAGGTATTGTTTTTTGCTTTTTGCCCTTAATTTCATTAAATGGTTCTAATAACCTAACCAGTTATTTATATTTTAGTAATCTACAAATATTTATTAAATCAAAGTTAAAAATATTAGACAATTCAAAAAACAGTATAAAATGTACAGAATAATTTTTAAATGGTTTAAAAGATTTTAAAATTGAAAAGAAATATAAAATGTTATCATTAGATGTAAAGAATATGTATCCTACCATAAAGAGTAAAAGAATAGTTAACTCTCTTAAATTAATTAATTGTGAGGAATGGATTATTGAAAAGATAATTTTTGTTTTGTCTAATAATTATTTTCAATTTAATGAAAAACACTTTACTCAAAAACCAGTATACCAATGGGGTCAATAATAGACCAAAAATTGGCTGACTTAAGTATGATTGGCATTGACACATTCATAAGTAATATTAAAGGAATTAAATTTTATAATAGATATGTAGATGATTGTTTCAATATATATAACACTGAAGAAATTAATTCTAGAAATTTATTAATGATGGTTAATGGATTAGATGATAACATAAAATTTGAAACTGAAGATGAAATTAACAATAAAATATCTTTTTTAAATGTTTGGTGTCAAGACATGCTAACTCTTTACAAATACAAAAAAATAAAAAATCTTGTAATGCTGATAAGGTAATGGATTTCCATTCATATGCTCCCATGCTCATAAGAAAAAACTTTCATTAATTTTATACAAAAAGTTATAAATACAAGGGTAATCCCAAAAGTAAAGTCTCCTATTTTTTAGAAATACAAAGAAATGTTTATTTTCAATAATGTTTATATCAATTTGAAGTTTGAACATTTATCTATTTTTCTATATAATCGCCATTTCAGTCAATGCATTTCTGTAGGCACTGTGGCAGTTTTTGTATGCCCATGTCATACCAGCTCACCACCATGTTGTTGAAGAAGTGTTGAACCTCATCTTTCACTTTGTCGTCATTACTGAAGCACATTCAGGCCAAATTTTCTTTCAACTTAGGAAACAGTTGGTAGTCACTGGGTGCCAAGTCCTGACTATAGGGTCCACCAATCTTCACGCATGGTTTGCTCAACCTTTGCGACTGTCTCATCAGAAATTGATATTTCTCCTGCTTCTTTCTTTGTCGTGAATTTCAGTGTGATCAGCTGCAAACTCCCTACGCTACTTGCAGATGTTTTTGACATCCATGCATGACTCACCATACACTTCTGTCAATTGGTGATGAATTTCAATCGGTTTAACCCAGGCATGGCCAACATACTGCCCGCGGGCAGATCTGGCCCGTCTAATGAATTTATGTGGCCCGCGATCAATCTTTCAATATTAGCTACTGAAGTCCGAATAGCTCAATGAAAAATTCTGATGCCTAAAAGAAAAAAAAAAGAAAAGGGTCAACAACTCATTGTGCGTTTAGAGTTAACCCTCCATTACACATCTCGTAAGTACAGTGTAGAGTGTTGATAAAGCATGATAATGTGAAAAATGTATCTGTAATCTCTAATCTGACACCACAATGAGATCTCGCACCACCTCAAAATCTTCCTAGGGCAGCCTCTGGTTCGGTCCGTGGAAAAAGTTTTTTTCCAATTCAGCCTGGGGGCAAAAACTGTTGGCTACCCCTAGTTTAACCCCTTTTGCATTCAAAAACCAAATAACTGCATGAACTTTGCACTTGGCGCTAGCACCAAGCAGGAACTCCATTACAAACAGCTGCCAAACCAAGACTGAGCATCCCAGCGTGGTGCATGCAATGCGTTTGGGAATGGGGAAAACAACAAACAGAACAGTGTTGCCAACAGCCACTACAAAGAGTTTCCCTGCATCCCCAGTGCTTTGGAGATCTTACTTTTGGGATTACCCTCGTAGTACTACTTTAGAAAATATAACAAGAATAGTGAAATTACTGATATTGTAAAAGTTTATTTGTTAAATCATTATCCAAAAAGGTTTCTGGAGGTTAGCTAAAAGATGTCAAATATAAGGTTAATAATAATGGTGATAATAGTATTAATAGATAACATAGCAATAATCAACAGAATACAAAATATTTTAAACTCACATATGTAAACAATATGTTTGAAAGAATAGAAAAGGAATTAAAGAGATTTCATATAGGTCTGATCAGTGTAATAAAATACAAAAACATGTATGTCCTAATAATTCAAACAGAAAGATAAATAACCTAGAAAAAAATAATGTTATATATAAATTTAATTGTAATTGTAATGATAGAATAATATATGTAGGAGAAACAAAAAGGTGTTTAAAAGTTCAAATAAAAGAACATATTAATGCAATACAGTATAATACACAAACTTCTGGTGTACCAAAACACTAATTTAAATGGACGTGAAATGGAAATAAAAAGCATAAAATTTCAATGATAAAATTTTTTCAATTCAATAAAAAGCATAAAATTTGAAACAAATATTAATAAGTGTAAACATTATGAACATATTGAAATTTTAAAGGTTAAAAAGGAAAATAGAATTAACGATAATTTAGGGTCAAAAATAGATGAAGGTTGGTACAATTACATTAGTAAAAATAAAAATAAATGTTACTAATTATTGTTAATTGTGGATAGAATTGTCCATGGCTGGCTTGATTATAGAAAATATGAAAAAGATGGATTTTATTGTACAGCACTTGTGAGATAAAACGAGTTTCTTTAATTGTGACGTCTTCATGGTTATTTAAAACTTTTAATGTAACTTTTATGAATTTTTTACCTAATCTTTATTGAAACACCAACTGAAGAGGGACTTTTTCAGAGTCTAAAATGCATTTTGGTTGTATTGTGTATATATTATATTTAATCATTGTAAAATTTCTTTAGTCTTTTGTAAACTTAAATATAAAATAAATTTAAGAAATTTTTGTTCATATTCACTGGTGTGATAAGCTCTAAAATATAAATAACTGGTTAGGTTACTAGAAACATTTAACATTGAAAAGATATTGTTTAATACTATTATTATGTTACTAATACTCAAATAAATCTACTTGCTAAAAAACCAGTTTAACAAAAATAGTACTTGTTTTAGTTAGTTAATTGTAAAAAAATAGTAAAATTATATGAAAAAAGGAAAACAGTATTACATATCATATCATGCTAATATTTGCAATATCATCTTAAATTTAACAAAATAGGATGATCATATTTACATCAATGAATAAGTTCAAAACTGAATGATTAATCCATTTTCTATATCTGTATTTTTATACATTTCACAATTAACTGAATAAAATCTCCCGTTTATTTATTAATATAACAATAATAATATTAATGATGATGAAAATATAAATATTTATAATAGTGATACAAAACCGTGTGGTAATTTCACATATTTTTATTATTTTCAATCGTAGTTTGTTAAATATATTGAACTATTTGTCATGTTTATGAATAAGCAAATGGAATGCAAACTTGTATTAGACATACAAGTGTATTAAATGGTTAATGGTTAAATTTATAGATTTCATCTATTAATTTAACCAACAAATCACAATAACTGGCATTTTGTAAGGTTACATCAGAACTTTTATGTATCAGAAGACATATACTACATATATAAAACCCATTTTCTTCTTTTTAAAGTTTTTTCAAAACTATTTTTAATCAAAATTATTACATTGTTTAAAAAAATTCTA